CCTAATGCTCGTCGTTTTATTTATCAGATTGGATTTAAAATGGCTGACTGGCGGCCATTTTGTTTCAATGATTGGGCTTCTAGAGCCATATCTCTTAAATGCTTTGACTGATTATATTCAAATTTTATATATTCGTTACATGTATTCATGTATTCAAAATGGCTGATTTTGAATGCTGTTCCAGAGCAATATCTCTCAATATGGACAAGTACTTGTTTGAGGATCAGATACAAATGTCAATCATTTTAATGTTAAAAAATCATATTCCTGACATAGTTACATGTATATTCCAACTATATTACTATAAACAAAACTATATATCTTAAATTTGATAACTAACGGGGACTGTGCCATGCATGGCTTGTTTTAATTAAAACTACCCTGAAACTGGTTGACATACAAACATATATTGCATTCATTGTTGAACCTATTGTACGTAAGAAAACCTGAACAATGTAATAACACTAGATACCCACTTGGGTATTTTCACTAAACCATGGATTGGAAGTTGACATGCCTAGTATGTGACCTGATTGAATGGACACACGTATATACATTGGTGAAGGCGCTGATTCGATGGAAACTATGCTACAGCACGCAATCTGATTTAACGGATATGTGTATTGATGAATGCCACTGATTGGATTGTTCCTGCGAGCATGCACATGCCATGTGTTGAACCAAGCCTCAGAAGGGTGTATGTTTTGTGCCTGGTGAACTGTCTTCTCCTGTGTATGTCTGTGAAGGCATTGAGGGACCATTATTAGTCCCCATTCAGACGAAGTGCGAAAACGGGGACTTATGGATTGACCTCTGTGCATCCATGTGTCTATGTGTTAGCACCTATATCTTAGACATGCCTGAACCGATTACATACATACTTCACACATACGTCATACATAATATTATACATATGCACATCAATTTGTTTCATGATCTGATTCAAGATAGCCGAATGGCAGCCATTTTTGTGCTGAAAAATCATCAAAATCAAGCATTTGTGGATGGTTTTGTTCAAACTTGGTACATACATTAGACATTATGGATTCCTGATGCACGTCATTTTATTTTTCAGATCCAATTTAAAATGGCGACTGGCGACAATTTTGTTTTAATGAATGCAGTTTTAGTGCCATATCTCTGCCATGCTTTGACTGATTATGTTCAAATTTTATATTTTCTTTATACATCATGTTATGGATTATATATGTATTCAAAATGGCCGACTTGTGACAATTTTCTCAATTAATGCTGTTCCAGAGCAATATCTCTCCATATGGACAAGTACTCGTTTGATGATTAAATACAAGATGTCAATCATTTTAATGTTAAAAAATCATCTTAATCAAGTGTCAGCTTCTTCATCTATATCTCTGACATGTTTATGTTTCAATTATATTACTATAAACAAAACTATATATCTTAAATTTGATAACTAACGAGGACTGTGCCATAAGCTTGTAAAATTCTAATACATGGTACTACACTAGCTCTGTCTGCCTGCCTCAAATGAAAGAAAACCCATGTGAATTTTTTTAGTTTTGATCTTTTCTAACCTTGCTACTATGATTTTGGTCTGTGAGTTTGTCTGTGAGTGTTGATATTGTGTAAACATATTATTATCTACTTTCCAGACCCAAATATGCAGTGACAGTTGTAAGAAGGAAATTACAGGATAAAAATCCTCATGTATGTGCATACGGATTACATGTAAGTTTTTATATTTTTTTCCTCACTACACTTCATTTCAAATGATTTTGCTGTCTGTCAATAGTTAAGATTATGTACATTCAATAGTCTGTTATGTTCTTCACAATATCAATTATTCTAGAGCCTTGAAAGTTGTGACATTTTTGATACTGTCAGGTCAAGGTACATTTTCATTTTCATCTCGCAAAAAGCAGTGAACAATACATTTAATACTATACTTGTTGTTTTGCTCTCCTCCATTAACCTAAGACAGGCTGATTCTGTGGAGGGAGAGGGTTTGCACAAATCAGCATATGATTGTCTTTATAAATAATAACTGTAATATACTACTATACCTGCCAACTTCATGTGGGTGCCTTGGAAGGTACATGTATATACTACACCTACCCCAAGCCTGGGTCATTGTTTTAGCACAGAGAATATTTTGTGAAAAAAAATTACACATTTGGTAGAAAAAAGCACCACGAAAATTTACAGCAACATTATTGTTCCTCTCATCCCAAAAATCTCAGAACTAGATCAAGGAAGAAAATAATTTGCACTGTTTTTTAGCTCCGCTGTTGACTTTGTCGAGCGGAGCTTATCATATGAGTGATTGTCAGTCTTTTACTTTTTCGACTTCTTCTTGAAAACTAAATGCCTGATTGCTTTGATACTTCATACCTCTCTTGATTTGTTAATTTTGATGAATATTTTTTGTCATTTTTGGTAAAAAGTGATATTTTTGATTGAAGGTATGATTGATTTGATATTATTAATATAAATATTACAGGTGGACTTCTCTCAGATTTGTTAATTTCTTGATATCTTCAATTTTTTGACATGTGCATTGCCATCAGTGCCTCTGTCTCAGCCGAAAGGCTGTTTGTTTTTATCATCTCTTCTAGACTGATGAAACACTAAAAGTTATATCAAATGTTAGTTAGGGTTATACTCATTTTTGATTTACAGGCTTTATTTTTTGAAAATATTCTGCGAGCTATTTATGGTTCTCCTAAAAACAGTGATGCAAGTAATTAATGAAGAGAAGCTGTTTGTTAAAAAATTAGGAGAATGACATTTAGATCGTGCAGGGTCAATTGAAGTGAAAGTTATCACTTGACCTAGAAATTAAGGTTTTGGAAAAACCATATTTGTTGCTACCATTTTATTGTAACTCACATCCACGGCACTAGTTTTACTTCATGAACATTTCATGCTTTAAATTTAAATATTTCAGGTTTTGGAGTCAGCAGTTAAAAACTGTGGAACACTGGTCTATGAGGAGGTTGCTACAAAATCTTTGATGGATGAATTTAGGGAATTAACAAAGGTAAATACTATGTAATTTATACTATGTGACTTCCCTCAATCACCAAAATTTGTCATTCATTCTAGTTCACAGCTTTAAAATTATTTGTTTGATCACTGCTGAATTGACGTATGACTATAAAAACCTGTATCATTTGCAGATGCAGGCAGTACAAAATGAGGAAGTGTTCCCCGGGACACTGGCTTTATTAGCTCCGCTGTCGACTTTGTCGAGCGGAGCTTATCATATGAGTGATTGTCTGTCGTCGTCGTCCGTGTCAATGTTTTACTTTTTTGACTTCTTCTTGAAAACTACAAGCCTGAATGCTTTGATACTTGGTGTATATGTACCTTGGGTAGACCTCTCTTAGGTTT